GAGTGACAAACTCCCTTATGCACTCTCTTGTACGTGCTACACTGTCTCAGGCCCTGCTGGCATTTCGCCCGATGATCAAAAGTCATGGGTCTCTTCTCGAGACCCTCTTTTATATGCACCTAGCATGCACCTCTCTCCTTAAGGTGCTCCAAATGGATATCGCATCTGAAACTTCTTGGAAATCATATCCCCCAAGGTTTGATACCCTGCCACGCTCACTAGCTCACTTGCCAATGGCTAAGCTGCAACAACTGGAACATCCTCGGTCATCAAACCGGGTCACAAACTCCTCCCCGAAGCTTCTCAGATTCCCCAAGACTCTCACCGATTCGAGTATGGATCCTGTGCTTTCAGTAGTACGGGCCTAATACTACCTTCCACACCTATCCATAATTTCCTCAGTAATCCTCCAGGATCCTCCAAGTCGCTTCCTCAACTGGAACACCCAGGTCTCACTAAAGCTCAATACTAGTTCACTGAATCATATCCTAGGCTTCCCTAGGTTCCCGAACTCACCCGATCCTCAGTTGCTAAAGGACTTCCCACTAATGTCAACTAGATACCTCATGAATATAGCCATTCGCGATTTAGCATATTCACTTAGTAGCTACCTCACATTACCAAGAGTCCCTCGAAGCACAAAGCAAGCAACATTCAGACATTGGGAAATCTAACCAACATGTTCCAATCAAAACAGTTTATCCTCATATCAGGGATCTATATTAGCATGTAACTCCAACATCGCATACAATCAGACATAACCTAAATAGGCTATCCTATCACTGACTAATCAGTACTATCATGTAATTCAGCAAGCACATACAATAAGCACATAAGGCATCCTCCTAGATCCTCAACCTTAATCTAGCATGCAGTTCTCATAATCATATATCAGGCATACAAGGCATCAACCTAGATCCTTAGCCCTAATCTAGCATGCAGTTCTCAGAATCATATATCAGGCATACAAGGCATTCTCCTAGATCCTTAGACCTAATCTAGCATGCAATTCTCAGTTTCATATATCATATCACATAACATGACAAATATAGGTATCTTGGGGAAAACTTACTTGAGCTCGGCTGATTGCACGCATCATACACCTTTTTCTTTTCAAAGTTCTTTTATCCTTTCAAATTCTTTCCAAACTTCCTTTATAAAATGATCTTACTTTTGAAAATTTTCATACCGAGTTCTCAGTTTGAGTCCAGATACACCCGTGAGTGTGCCTGAATCCCTCAAACCAAGGCTCTGATACCAGCTTGTAACATCCTAAAATTCAAGGCCCAAAAATTTCATTTTTAATTAGGTTATTACATAAAATCAAAGTGTGAATAATCAAAATATAATATTATAAAACCATATCAGAGTATAATCCCAAGGATCTCGTGTGCGGAAAAACATAGTGTGATGCGCTACGATCAAGCCGGCTCCTTTCCTTTGAAACAAAGTACCTGAAACCAAAGCTGTAAACCGTAAGCACGAAGCTTAGTGCGTTCCCAAAATACCACACATACATATTAGCCACTCGAGGATATAGCTCTATAAGACCTTCCGGTCAATGTGTCTCAGTGGGACCCTCCGGTTCTATAACTCTGGTAGACCTTCCGGCCCCTTACCTTTTGGCCTCAACTCTGATCGCCTTCCGGCCATAACTCTGATTGCCTTCCGGCCATAACTCTATCGACCTTTCGGTCCCAAATCATATCACATATACATAACACATAGATAAGAACATATATCACATAAACAAAATGCACAATATCACATAGACAAAATGCATAATATCACATAATTTAGTGTAAGCACACAAGACCTTCCAGTTACACATAATTACCACTCTAGGTAAGGTATAGTGAGAGGACCCACCTGACACTGTTGAAGTCCCGCAGACTCAATCCCCCACTGCTGAGGTCCTGCAGACTCAACCCCAGCTGCTGGATGACAGATTCCCGATCTGTCAATCATCAAAACATCACCCAATTAATAATTGGATCCCACTACCTAACCATAAGTACCTACTTTGGATAATTACTACTTTGTCCCAGGCTTGGCTTTATTTAAGCCCAAGGCCCAAAGTCAATTAGGAATCGAACCCGAACACATGGCCTAATTTTCCAAATTGGGCCCAAGCCTATACATGGTCTTGTTCTAAGGCTCATCATCATATAATCATTAAGGCCCAAACTGTGGTCCAACTATGGCACAATATTCCAAATTGGGCCCAAACCCCTTACATGGGCCTTACCCTAGGCCCATTAATTTATTCTAGACCATTAGCTTGATCTTGGATGGTCCATTATTATCTTAATCATTTAGGCCCAATAGAAAGGCCCAATAATAAACCCAAGTGAAACTAGGGTTTCCCATAAAATGATGATTAGGGTTAAGTTTCCTACTTAACCCATTAAGGACTTAATCCATTAAGTCCAATATTACTTAGATTAATTTCTTGCCAATGATTATTATTTAATATCTCCAGCTATTAAATAATTCCCGTATGTCCCGATTAATTCCCCAAATTAGGGTTTTGATGGCGTTAGGGTTTTCCAAACCCTAATTAGGGTTTCCAACCCAAAAACCCGCCCATTTATTAATTGGTTGGGCTTTTAGATCAATTAGGGCTTTATTGGGCCTATTAAGCCCACTAGAGTATTATTAAGCCCATTAGGCTTCATTGGGCCCATTAGGACTTCATTGGGCCCATTAGGGTTTCTAGCACCCCAAATTAGTCAACACAACCAGGAAAAGCACACCGCCACCCGACACGACGGCCGATGGAGGCAGGAGGCGGCAGCCACCACCTAACAGTGGTGGTGATGGATTTTCTTAAGTATTTAGATTTGTTACAATTAAAATACCCAACCGATTAACACACGCACACCCTAATCTAATTGCAAAACATATACATACAAAAGTACACCCACCGGCGGTGTTACACGGTGGCATGAGGCGATAGCCACCACCTTACAGTGGTGGCAGTGGTTCCTTTAGCTTACAACATGCAGCAACACCACACACACCCATGAATACGTCCACAGCCTCCTCCCATGGTGGATGGTGGTGGCAAAATAAAACAGGAACGACAGTTAAGGCTATTCCCACGACACCCTTATCCTTGTCGGAGGCAGCAACGTCCAGTAGCATCGTCGGCGGCACATCCGCATGACGGCGACTGAAGTGAGTGGAAGAACCACTTGAGCACACAAATGACAATCATATCTCGAACGGAAGCGAGAGGGAAGCGGCGGAGATGCAATAGTGGAGACTGGAGAAGGCATGAGGTCGGCGAAGCAACGACGACCGGTGGCTTGGGCGTAGTACTAGGGAAACAACGGTGAGATGGCGGAAAGGAGGTGGCGGCAATGATTGTGGAGCGGTCTAGCAAGCACACGGTAGCAGCAACCCACCTATCTTCGTTTCCTGGTGGCCCTCATAGTCGTCGGCAGCAAGAGCTTCAGCAAGGTGTTGCGACTTTGATGGCAGCGAGCAGCAGCACCGAAGATCAAGAAATGGGAGTGGCAGCTAGTAACCGATCATGGAGAGGGTACGACTAATACACATTGTTCTAGGGTTAGGGTTTCTTAATCCTTAAATACCGCTCCCATTAGAACTTTTCCATAATGGCACTTCCAGGCCCTCCAGCACCTTCTTCTTTCAATCTAAATCCGAAAATTACCAAATGGCCCCCTGCTCTTCAAAATACATTTCAAAGAAGATCCATATTTTACCTTTTAGCCCCCCAACATTGAAAATCTATTACAAGTTAGGTGTAGAATTTACCAATTTAACCCCTGCTTCCATAATTCTTCACAAATTCGATTCCTAATTTACTAGACAACCCCTTAGCCCCAAAATCTCTTCAAATGAAGTCCCAGAAGTTACCATTTAGTCCCTGCCTTCATAAATAATTATAAAATGAGTTTGGAACTTATAATTTTAACCCCCAACTTATGAATTGTACCAATTAACTCCTCGAAACCAACACCCTGCATATATAATTATTTTTAGGGCTACCATTCATTCATTATTTTGTTTATTTATTTAATAAATAAATCAGGTTTTACATTAGTTAAGTAGAGATGTTTATCTGGGATAAAGAAGATGATTTTCTGAACATCCCCTTCCTTTTTGTTGTACACTACACGCCAATGCTCTTTCCTAATGACTCACAACTTCAGTTTGTGAACATCCTTCGGTTATTCTTCAGGCTTTAGAATCGGCCTTCTCTACAAAACTGAGGCTATCTCTACATCCATCTTTGCAATGTCATGGATATAGTAGATAATCATCCTTCTTAAATGTGCAATAAATGGCTCGTAATTCTACTCATCTTTCAAGACAATGTTGAACAGGGAAACCCAGTCATAAGAATTCATAAAGGGTTAGTCCGCCAGAGTGAACTCATCCAAAACTTTATTAGCTCCATGAAATCCCTTGAATTTCATATTTACAAAATCTTCAGTCGAAACAGGTGCACAAACTTTCACTCCCATAATCCTCTTTAAATTCCAAGTCAGATATTGAGGCTTAGCACACTTCAAATACAAAGCAATGAGTTTCTGATTCACTGCCTTGTTGGAAATCAATGACTTTTTTATCTTCTTAAAACAAGGAAATAGAAAAGCCCTGGGAGTGATGGGAAAATAAAATTAAGAGTTTGCATTATTATTCAGATCAAATGAGATCGAAGGTTCAAGTCAATAGATGCTCGGATTGTCAATGGCTTCTTTCTTAATTCCTTCCATCGTCCATGGAGGGAATAGTGACTTCTAAGTTTCAAGCACTATTTTTTCATTTTTAGCTTCAGCCTCTCATGCTTTTAACTCCTTCCGAATGCTAAGAAGAGCATCAAGTTCGCTGTCACGCTTCTTCCTCACTAGCTTCTCTGATTCGGAAAGCTCTTCTTCTTCCTCGTCATCATCAATTATTTTCTCTTTTTATTTGTTTGATGTAGAAGCTTCATTACCCTTCCGATGAGTGTAATTCTTCAGTTTTTGCTATTGTTCTTCGGTCATTTTCTTTGGCTGAGGCTCTTTGTCTCCCCCTTGTTTCTGAAAAGCATTTCTTCCCGAAATACCTTCAATTTGATTCAGCATTGTGAAGACTGGTTGAAGCTTGTCGAATAGCTATTGTTTGATCGAGATTGTAAATAAAGAATCACGTGTCTCAACAAGCCTCATCAAATACTGGTTGATCTTAGAGACACAGCTTTTGACAATGTTATTTTTAGTTTCAAGATCATCAATATGCTTGGAAGCATTCTACAGTTTTACCGTAAGAACTTTGGCCTTCGGAGTCTTTTCAGCCAACTGATCCATGATATTGTTTTTGACGGCCAAGTCCTTTTGCAACTTTTCAATCTTTGAGATAACAGATGCATATAATTTAACATTATCCATTCGATGGCATAACGGATAAGGGATAGTGTCTCCTTCTCAACTTGCAGAGAAGTACAAAATCCTGCAATCACCTTGTTCATTGCTTCAATATTTTTGTCTGAGGAGCTTCTGAATTCAGCCATAAATGATGTCACTTCTTCATGTAGTTTTTTGACTTTCGCGGTCGTTTCAGAAATGGTCTTTTCAGAATCTTTAATTGCGGTTGATGAGTCTTCAAGGACTTTGGCATTTACTGAGGTAAGCATCTCTACAGTGTCTTGGTGGGATTTCAACATGTATTCTCATTTGGATGAAGATGTAGATGTGGAAGACTCTAAAAGAGAATCCAAGTTTTCGTTCAGCTTCTTAAATTGCCCTTTCATCATTGGATATCATCATCGATCATCACTATTAATGTTGATAGTTAAAGGACTAAAGATGAAATCCATAAAGGCTTCTTAATCATCTCCAAACAGAATATCATTAGATTCATCTGTAGGAGGAAGATTGGATGTGTCATGTTTTGATGTCACACTGGTATGGACATTTGCCCCCGTATCAGATACGTTGACATGAATGTATGAATCCCTAGTCACCTCCGGAATGGACTTGACAATAGGAACTCTCAGTGGAATAGAAATAGAAGATGAGGTTGGAGTGGTGGAATCAGTAAAAATGGTTTAGGTTAAAGGGATGGAGATCTAAGGAAGTGAAATTCCAATAGAAATATTTTGGAATACTGGAGGGATGGATGAGATTGGAATAGTAGTTGTGGTTGGTGAAGATGGTGGAGTGTGGGAATGAAAGATATCTGAAACAGGAATAGATGAAGGAGGTGGATATGATACCTTTGGATTTGATTATGTAAGAATTGGTTCAGAAGGGGTGGAAGTATCCTCTACCTCATTGTGGATTGTACCTTCCTTTCGGATTTCTGAAAGAGTCCTAGATTTCGAGTCTTCCTGAGAAACTGGAGACAGAGATCTCTTTTTCTTAGTTTGCTTCTGTGACTTCTATGGAGCTTTACTCGTTTCTAACTGACCAACTTCCACTTTTTGTTTGCCACACCTTTTTGACTTGATACCCTATTCAATCTGTTGGATAAGGTGTCTAAGTCCATAACTATTTTTGGTAAATACTTGACCCGACCCGACATGGTCCATTTGGGTTGCATGGCACCATGCAATTGGCTAAACTAAATGAGAGAAATAACACATATGGTTTATTAATATATTATAAGTTCTAATATATTAATAATATTATTTAATTAGTTTGATCAAGAATTAATTAAGTGATCAAAAGACAACTAATTAAATGTATGGATTGATTATGTAAATCATCCATAACTTATATAGTGGGCTAAGAGGCTCCATGGATAATCAAGATGGGTTATACCCATTGGATGGTCCATGGAGACTACATGGGAGTTACAAACCCATGGGTCATGGAAATGAAGAGTCATGATACATTAGGGTGTAACCCTAGATGTGTCAACACTATATAAAGCTCATGTGCTCTCCCCAAAACCGGTTAGATAAGAAACAAGAGGACTAGAGCCGATTTTGAGTGTTATATAATCTCTTCAAGTTTACTCCATAGCATTTGGTGTTGTGTGAAGCATTTGAGGCATCACACTTGGGGTGCTAGGCTCACAAGGTTTCAAGGAACACCCACAACAACAAGGTATGTAATTCTATCTATTATTTAAGTTAAAATTGTTCCCCATGTATGCTAGATAGGATCATAGCCTTGGAAATCAACTTTGCATGATAATTAGACAAACATAGATCCAAGGTTATTAGGGTTGCATGTACATTTAGGAAGTGTTAGAATGCTCAAAACCCATCAGTGGTATCAGAGCCTAGGCTTGCTTGTTTGATTTTTGTGCAAACTGCTTGAAAAAATCGAGTTTTCGGCTTTCTGCTCGTATGAACTCGCCGACGAGTCCATAGGGGGACTCGACGAGTCCATGACCAAATGCAAGCTACTCGCCGAGCCAGTTCATGCACTCGACGAGTAGAAGCTGCAGTTTCCAAATCTTGATTTTAGTTGCTGGAAATGGACTAGAATGTAACAGCCCGGGTTCCCAGGTAGTAATTATTTTGTATTTTGTTGGTGAATTGTGAGGAGACTCGGCGAGTTGGAGTCCAAACTCGCCGAGTATGATCGCGGTTATGGGCGCGGGTTGGCGTCTAGACTCGGCGAGTCCACGCTGTTTAATGAAACCCTAATTTCCAGGGTATGAGACTTATTTAAAGGGGCTTATGGCCGTCATTTGCGGCCACCAACCGCAGAGAGAACCCTAAAGAGTCTTTGAGCGTTTTGTGAGAGAGAAGAGGAATATCCTTGATTATTTGTGGGTGTTTTGCTTATAGAAGAGGACCAAGGCAAGAGGAGACCAAAGAAGGTGCTAATCCAGTGATTTCTGAGCTCAGAGACTTCATTGGAGGTAATCATTCGTTCCTTTTTTCAGTCCTTGGTGTAAATCTTAGAGATAGGGTTTCTTTGTGGCTTTTTTGGAATGATCCATGGAGTAAATGGCTTCTTCTTGTGTTGATGCTTTAGATATGGAACCAAGGAGGTCTAGAGACCCTTTTTCCTCATGCTTTATGAGTGTTAATGGAGGCCATGAGCTTAAAATAGCATTCTAGAGACCATATCTTCAAATAAGTCCTTTTAACCTTTGCATGGGCACCAAGATAGTAACTTTACGTGATGAATGAGCTTGGAAGGACTGGATCTATGAGTTATTGGAACGGATCTAACCTCAGGAGTGAGTTTGAGTTGATGCATGGCATAGACTCGCCGAGTCTGAAGAACAGACTTGGCGAGTAGCATGAAGATTGTCCATAACCACTCAGCGAGTGGTCTTGCCAAGTTAAGGGGTTGACTCAGTGAGTCAGGGTGAGTCAGAGAGGGTTGGCGGGTGGGCTGAGTCAAGCCGGAACTCGCCGAGTTGTTCTTGAGACTCGGCTAGTTGAGTCGTGGTGGCCCCGCGACTCATGCCAGGTGGAAGCCATCGAGTTAGGAAAACACTCGACGTGTCGAGAGAGGATCCCAAAGAGTTAGTGGACATGTGTGTACTCGCCGAGTCACCGGAGTCAACTCGGCTAGTTGGGTTAAAGTTTGACCGTTAACTTTTGTTGACTTTTAGGGTTGGTCAAAAATGTGGCCTTTGGGCCAAGAAGGGGGTAAAATGGTCTTTTACCCTTGAGAGGATGCTGAGAGAGGATAGAGTCTAGTCTCAAGAGTTATGTTCATGAGAGAATTTGCCTTATGTGATAGATGGTGGCGAGTTCGAGATGCAAGCGTGAGGATATCTGCTTCCTGCTTGCCAGGTGAGTCTTCTCACTATACATTACCTTGAGTAGGTAACTAGAGTTATGTGTCAGAGTATTTGTATGCTATGTATGTTATGTGTTGTACTGCATTATTTCTATGTGATTTATGCTGTGCATGTTTACAAAGTTAGAACCGGAAGGTTCCCAGAGTTAGAACCTGAGGGTTCACGGAGTTTGGGTGCACGGACCCACAGAGTTATAGCCTCGAGTGGCTAATATGTGTTATGTGTGGTATTTTGGGGAACTCACTAAGGTTCGTGCTTACAGTGTTTTGTGTTATGTGTTTCAGGTTTCTTTCAGGATCATGGAACGACACCGGCTTGATTGTACACAACAGCGAAAGAGTCATATTTTGAGGATCCTGGTTTATTATGCAAGTGAAAATGGAGTTATGTTTTGTAATTTGATTATGAATGAGATTTTAAGAAAGGTGTTTTTTTTTAAAATTAAACCATTATGTTTAAATGAAAAATTGTTTTGAAATTTACGGTGTTACAATTTGGTATCAGAGCCTTGGTTTGAGGGATTCGGATGCACCTTTGGGTAAATCTGGACTCAAAGTGAGGAAGTAAGAAATGTTTTCAAAGAAATAATTTTCTAAAGTGAATAAGAGTTCAAAGAGAAAGAGAGAAAGAGTAGTGTGTACAATCAGCCAGAGCCCGAACGGTGATTTCCCAAAATACCATTATTTTTGTGTTATGAGATATTTATGATGCACTTTATGAGATATTATTGCATGCTAGAGACAGGCTAGGTATTTCATATGTTAGGACTAGAGTGGCCTGATTTGTGATGCTTTAGCCTAGGAATTGTTGTTATATGCGATGTGCTTTTGATTATGTGATGTGTGAGAATATTTAGTTGGCATCCTTTATGTGATTTGAGTAGAGGAGTAATCTAGGGGAGATACCTAGATGAGTACTGTGGTACTTAGCGAAAGAATAGTTAGCACCCGCGAGGGAAAGAGTTGCAGAGTTCGGTGGTACTTTCGAGGATGAGAAGAGCAAGTGGAGTTATCACCCAGAGTGAGTCCTATGTATTCTTCAATGCTCGAATGCTGCTTGCTTCGTGCTTTGTAGAACTCTCGATGATGGGAGTCAGCTACCAAGCGAATATGACGATATTCAGGAGGTAGATGGCTGGCATCGTTAGGAGCTCTTCAGCAGCTGATGGCAGAGAAGTGTGGGAATCTAGGAAGAGCTTAGGGAGTAACCTTAGCCTGATGAGTGCGCTGGTAGAATAGAGAATTTCGCTGGAGAGCGAGCACGCGCGATGGAATTGGTGAACGAGAAGGTCGAGCAGCTACTTAGGAGCTCCAGGATGGTCCGTGTGGAAAGTATGGGTAAATGTGGCAGGTAGTATGGGCCAGTACTACTGAAAGAAGAGGACCCATACTTGATACAGGGAGTATTCTGAAGGTTCTAATGAGCGGAATGAGGAGTGATGTTATGGTTCGAGTACCATACATTGAAGCAGATAGAGGAGTGATGTTATGGTTCGAGTACCATACATCGGAGCAGATGGAGGAGTGATGTTATGGTTCGAGTACCATACATCGGGGCAGATAGAGGAGTGATGCTATGGTTTGAGTACCATACATCGGAGCATATGGAGGAGTGATGTTATGGTTCGAGTACCATACATCGGGGCAGATGGAGGAGTGATGTTATGGTTCGAGTACCATACATCAGAGTAGATGGAGGAGTGATGCTATGGTTCAGGTACCATGCATCGGAGCGGATTGAGGAGTGATGTTATGGTTCAAGTACCATACATCAGAGCAGATTGAGGAGTGATGTTACAGTTCGTGTATCATACATCGGAGCATATTGAGAAGAAATGTCATGGGACGAGTACCATGGTTCGTATTGAATGATGCTCGTGGTTCTTCGGTTATCCGGTCATGATTGATGAGGTAGAGATTGGATGCTATGGGCCTTAGGCCAGTGGACCAT